AGAGAACAATTTTACATTGTATAAGAATTTCCATTTTATGTGGCTAAGCGTGCTATGCTAAGCAACTGATGATGGGTCCCGAGGTAGGGCTTTCCCTGGAAGAAGCATTTCTTACATGATATGGAGTTTCTGGGCAAAATGGAGTCTGTTTGGTCATTGCCCATATAGCCTGGCCCATAACAGGTGGAACTGGAAGACATCATATTAAGTGAAATAAGCCATGTGCAAAATGGGAGTGACTGTGTTGTTCTAAAGCAGAACTTCAGCTCTCCACTGTCATAGCACAGAATGCCAGTACCATGGATGCCCAGCAGTTGGTTTCAAACCTGTGCTTCTGTTCCTCTTTGTGAATGGCAAGTCAAAATGAAATTTGTACCTTCAATAAACAGAGAGTTTTCACTTCATAGTTCCCACTGTTAAAGTCAGTGAACCAGCCCCAATGTCCAGAGACCCAAGTGGTCCTGGTTCACCCATCCCTGGCACTCAACTCCATAGATCCTCAGGCCTTGTAGAACACATCTCCACTTACTCACACACACAAAAGAGACTTCAACAGTTTCAGATTTGGGAAGAAAAAAGCACGTCTACTAAACACAGCACCAGTGGCCTCACAACTCTCAGCTTAGACTTGAAGGATGAGCAACCTCTACATCCTTCCAGCATTTATGACTTTTTCTTAGAAAACAGCTATTCTAAAGGGTCAAGAGGGTATTACATTGTGATTTTAATTTGCATGTAACTGAGAGTTGATGATATTAAGCCTTTTTTCATCTATTTTTGGTCACTTTTATTTCTTCTTTTGGGAAGAGTTTATACATGTAATCCATACATTTTTATTACAATAAAGTTTGTGGGTTTGTGGTTATTAAGATTTTCTTTTTTCTAATATACTCTGAATATTAACACAGTCAGATGAAGGTTATTCAATATTTTCTCACATTCTCTAAGTTGTTTCTCCACTGAGGATGTGGCAAAAATGAGACTTTTATTCACTGTTGGTGGGAACTTAAATTAATTAGACCATTATATAAAACAGTATTCAGTTCCCTCAAATAGATGAAAATAGATATCTCATGTGATCTGGGTACTCCACCTTGGGCACAAATTCATAGTAATACTTATCAACACATCAACAAGATACCTGAACAGCCATGTTTATAGAACCTCAATCCCACTAGCTAAGACAAGAGATCATCCCAGTGCCCACCAAGAGAGGACTGGATACAGAAAATATGATGAATATACACAGTGGTGTAGTATTCAGCCATGGAGAAGTAAAAAGAGCTGTCATAAACAGCAAAAAGTGTTATCTGTAGGACATTATTTTAAGCTATATGATCTAGAGACAGTACTTCATATTCTCTTTTCAAGTTCTGAGCTTTATCGTTATAGAAAGACCAGTGATTATTAATTATATAAGGGTGTGTGGGAGATGTGGGAAGGGGCTTGGATTTGATGTGGGCACACCATGTGCATGTACAGTACAATCACACTGGACCCATTAAACATTAAAGAAGAAGTATGTGAAAGAAAATATGCCAAGGGCTTAAGGCTTTTAATCTGTGCTGAGTCATCTGGGCAACCCCTGGATTCTAGGAAGAGTTCTGATGGATAAACGCCCTGTGATGAGTCCATACTACCACCCAGAAGGCCAGTCCACTCCCAAGATAGCCACCAAGGTTTCCACTCCTGAGATAACCCCCAAGCCATTCACCATTTGTCCAAGACTGCCTAAGTGTGATTTCTGGTTTCCTTTCTACACTCCGGGAGCTCAAGTCAGCACCCCAATGCAAGGCTCAGGAAGTAAGCCCCCTATCTCCCTGCTGTGAGTGCACTGATTGAAGGTCCCTTTCCTACTTTCACCATGGCTGAATTCTTTGATTGGTCTCTGAGGACAGGCAGCAGAACCTAGCTTGATGGCCCCCAGAGGCGGGGACTTCAACCTAGCTCTCCAGGAACTCCTAAGCTTTTAGATTGGGCAGAGATTGAGAACAGCCTTGCCTGACTGAACACAGAACAGACTCTTCTGGACACTAGAGACTCAAGTCCTCTGGCCAAGAGAAATGACCCCAGTGCTCTTGGGGTTGTGGGGGATGGAAGCTCAAATCCCACCCATGGTGGCTCCACCTTCTTCCAGGACCCCAACCACTCACAAGAGCACAGCTTCCTGCTGATGGGGCAGCAAATTTTCCTATTCCATTTTTGTGGCTCTAGAGATCAAACCCAGGGCCTCCTGCTTGCTGGGAAAACACTCTACACTGTGCCATATTCCAGGCAAAACTCTTGCCCCAATGTCCTTATTCCAGAGTGAGTTTCAATATTTGCATTTCTTAATTCCCTGTCAGGGGTCCTATCTCCCTATTCTCCACACAAAGGGTAGAATCTGGGGTCACTTCAGGAACCATGAGCTTCCTTCTGGCTGAACCACCTCAGTGCCTGGAGAGCATCTCTGGACGTGTTCCCAAAGTCCTTCTGCACTAGGGGTTTCCACCCTCTTTCCCCCTCAAGCTCTAAAGTCCCCACTTAAAGATGTGGCTTTTCCTTCCTCCAGGATATTCTCCTGCAGACCCCTTGTTGCCTGGGACTCTGCAGACTCCTGTCCTCTCCTGCCACTTTGTTTGTCTCCTCAAGTCCTGGGCATGACACTGATGCTCCTCAGGTCTCTTCAAGTCACTGCCTGTGGGAGAACTCTGAGCCCCCTCTGGGTGTGAGCAACAGCCCCAGTCTGTTCTAGATCCTGTCTGTTCCAGATCCCATCCCATTGCCAGTGCTTGCAAGGTGAGTTGACATTCACTGTGCTGTCCCTGGGCTAGGACATCTTCCTTTGTTCTGTACACATAGAGGGGTCAGTGGAAAAGACTATAAGTGTGCCTATAGATGGGTAAAATGGAATCTTTGTGCCTCTGGGCAAAGTCATCAGAGTCCCCAAAGAGGGTCTCTTGGAGTGCATCTAGCTGAAGCTAATGAACTTAGTGCAGTGTATATTCCTCCAAGGAAAAATTGACAAAAACCTGTTGAAAAAAATAAAATAGGGACTATATTAGCCTGAGTTTGTTTTTGTGACTGGAGCCCTCATGGAAGCAGAATGAAACTGAACTTGGAGGCACCCTTTCTAACTGACTTAAGAAAATCCTAGAAGAATATCCACATTTTTGTATAATTAATGATTGTATGCATGATTCTGAATATATTTGAGAGTCTGCACTTTTGAATAACTCAAATTACCCTTTATGGCACCCACACAGAGTCACCTTCCCTGGTTCAGCTATCTAAATTCAAAGCTCCATTCTTTTCTATCCCGACAATTGCAGAACACAGGGTTTTTTTTTCTTTGCATTTTCTTTCTTGAATACACAATTCTCTGGATAATGCTTTATGCATAATGCTCAGAAATACTTTGGAAAAAATAAAGTCACAAAATTCTGCAAATCTAGATTCTAAAGCTTTTCAAATTTATCTACTGAACTTGAATTATTCAGTGACACAATCTTTTGAAAGGTATGCTGCAAAGAATTAGTTGCTAATAATAAGTCAATTTCTTTTTGTCTGTAATTTGATCACAAGACCATAGTCCATCTTCTCTTTTTAAAATGCACACTGTAGGAGGTCACCTTTTGAGCTTTTGCTTTATGTCTGCAGCATATGTTTACTGAGCTAGAGACCATACTCCCCAGCCCCCAATCCTTCTGCTCTGGAATAACTATTGATAGTGTCTGCTCTTCATTCCACAAAATTGTCTCAGCTTTCATGGGAAAAAAGTTGATGCCTTATTTACACTGTGCCCATTATTTATTACCAGCCTCCAATCTTGAATCTAGGATCAACATAAGCTAGAGGAATTCATTCCTTAAATTTGAGTCAGAGGAGAGACAGCTCAAAAGATAAATGTATACAAATATACCAGTTTTAATATGTGGATTATGCTGCAACTGTACTGAATTTATTTGTTTGTTCTAACATGTTTTTAATGGGATTTCCAGGGTATTCTCTACATAAAATTATATCATAAGCAAACAGCGACAATTTGACTTCTTATTTTCCTTTTAGTTCTTTCTCTTATTAAATTTCTCTGTTTATGACTTCCACTACTATGAAAAAGAAAGCTTGAAAGTAGAATCCTTGTATTGTACCAAATCTTAAAGGAAAACTTTTAATTTTTTTCATGTTCAGTATAATAATATCTGTGGGTTTGCTACACATGACCTTTATTGTATTGGGGTACATTCATTCTACACCTGATTTGTGGAGAATTTTTAATCATAAATAATAATGAATTTTCATGAGGGGAGGAATGATAGCAGGATGAATTAGAAATTATTACCCTATGTGCATATATGATTACAAGATCTGTGTAACTCTAGATCATGTACAACCATATGAATGAGAAGTTGTACTCTATTTATGTATGATGTCTCAAAATGTATTCTACTATCATTCATAACTAATTAGAACAAATTTTAAAAAATTTAAAAATTAAAAAAGAAGAGCAATATAGGCCTACTATAAAAGAGGAAAATTGAATTAAAAATTAAAATTATGCTTTATATTGTCCATCAATAAATGAATGAATAAAGAAAATGTGGTATGTGCAGACAATGGCATCTATCCAGCCACAAATCTGGAGAACATTATGTTAAATTAAATAAACCAGACACAAAAAGACAAGTACTCATGAGCTCACTCATATGTGGATTCTAAAAAAACAATGTGATACAATATATTGGATGGGATTCTGTAATAGTAAAGATAACCATAAGATTCTGAGTAAAGATTGAATTTTAGCTAAAAATAATGTATAAGTATCTGCTCATAAATTGTGATAAGAATGTTACAGTGATCCAAAATGTTAATCAGAGGGAAAATGGAGTCTGGAATTTATAGAAAATTCCTGTAGTATCTGTAATGTAATTTTTTGCAAAATTAAAAACCTATTAAAAACATACTTTTTCTAGCATGTATTTGTTTAATCAATCCATGTATTAATTAGTTAAAACCAAGAATTCACAAGTTATGTTTTTTATTTTAAAAATAAATATTTTACAATGTTAAGCACATTGTATAATAATCATTACATTTTCTAAAATCAAACACATTTTTACATTAACAAATTACAAATTTTTGTTCATCTAATCAAAACATACAGAATTTTAAAAAATGGGGAAAAATAAGTAATGTTGTTTAATAAAATACTTACTGGATCAACATTCATTAGAATTCCAGCCTCCTTGTTTAGGACAAAGACAAGAAAAAACTTTGAAAGTATGTTGATGCATGTAAAATTTAACAAGACATATGCATGTGTATTCCTAATTTGAAATTTAACAAAACAAATTAAAAAATAGATTTTTTATTTCTCAAATGAAACTTAATAATTATAGGACATATGCATGGAAAATAAGGAGGCTGGTGGCATCTTAACATCACCTTTGAAGGAAAAATACTGATCCTTGTATATATCAAGGTTTAATGTATAGATAATGACTTTACTCTCATATTTGTCAGGGTGTTTATTATAAATGTTTAATTGTTCTATAAGGAATATATTTTGTACAAAATATTTTCAATGTTCACTACTGGTATGAGTTTTCAGATGTTCAATGAATTTAAAATTTGATTAAGTTTTGGAAATAGTATTTAACTTTTTAGAGTTTCTGGGGACAATGAATTCTCCACCAATCAGTAGTGTTTAAGAAACATGTGGCAATGAAATGTTTTATCCCCCATTTGTTTTCTATCTTACCAGTATGTATCAACAGGTGCTGAGTATTGATGAATACATTTTGGAGGCATTGTCACGTTGTCAATTTTCACATTTCAAAACTTCCTCTCTGCTATGATCATTGTGGTGGATTAAATTTTTACCCTTTCTTAGAGGAATGGTTCAATGGTCTCATTTATAAAGCTTCTCTCCAGAATATTTTCTCTGATGTCTAATAGTGTACGATATATAATTTAAAATATTTCTACATTCTCTATATTATATGTCTTCTTTTCAGAATAAAAAGCCTACTGGTAAAAAAGAACTGATTTCTAATTAAAAGCTTTGATACATTGTTTTCATTTGTAGGGGTCCCTTCCTGTATAAATTCTGTTGTTAATGAGGTTTAGTTTTTCTTTAAAAGTATTAGCACTTTATTTACATTTCATATTCACCAGGGTGTCTTCTGCAGTGGTGAATAAAGTTTTATTTTTTATTAAAAGTTTTGCCACTTTATTCACATTTTTAAGACTATTCTCCAATGTGAGTTCTTCTATGGTGAGTAATGCCTGTTTTATTCTAAAAGCTTTGCCACATTCCTTACATATGTAGGGAATTCTGTGTGGCAAATAAGGTGTTATTTTCAACTGAAAGCTTTGCCACATTCTTTGCATTGGTAAGGCTTCTATCCAGTGTGAGTTCTCCTGTGGCGATTAAGGTTTGATTTCTGACTGAAAGCTTTGCCACATTCTTTACATTTGTAGGGTTTCTCTCCAGTGTGAGTTCTCTTGTGGCAAATAAGGTTTGATTTTCGACTGAAAACTTTGCCACATTCTTTACATTTGTAAGATTTCTCTCCAGTGTGAGTTCTACTGTGGCGAATAAGGTGTGATTTTCGACTGAAAGCTTTGCCACATTCTTTACATGTGTAGGGTTTCTCTCCAGTGTGAGTTCTGTTGTGGCGAATAAGGTCTATTTTGTGACTGAAAGCTTTGCCACATTCTTTACATCTGTAGGGATTCTCTCCAGTGTGAGTTATTTTGTGGCAAATAAGGTCTGCTTTTTTAATGAAAGCTTTGGCACATTCTTCACATTTGTAGGGCTTCTCTCCAGTATGAGTTATTCTGTGGCGAATAAGGTCTGATTTTTGACTGAAACCTTTGCCACATTCTTCACATTTGTAGGGCTTCTGTCCAGTGTGAGATCTGCTGTGGTAAATAAGTCCTACTTTTCTAGTGAAAGCTTTGCCACAATCTTTACATTTGAATGGGTTGTTTCCACTGTGAGTTCTGCCGTGGTGAATAAGGTCTGTTTTTTGACTAAAAGTTTTGCCACATTCTCTACATTTGTAGAGCTTTTCTCCAGTATAAATTCTTCTTTGGTAAATAATGTTTAATTTTTGACTAAAAACTTTACCATATTCTTCACATTTGTAGGGCTTCTCTTCAATGTGAATTCTGCTTTGCTTAATAAAGATTGATTTTTCTTTATAAACTTTATCACATTCTGCCCATTGGTAGGGCATTTGTACAGTGTGGGTTACTCTGTGGTTAATAAGACAATTTATTTGACTAAAAGCTTTGCCACATTGTTTATATTTGTAGGGCTTCTCTCCAGTATAAATTATCTGGTGGTGAACAAGGCCTGTTTTTTCATATGATTTCTGGTGTTCACTCTCACTTTTGGTTTTCCACATTTTCTTTTGTTGTAAATAGTCAAGATCACAACCACTGTATTTCCCATTTATCAATTTGTGAAATATATGTTTTATGCCCTTCTCTGGTGAATATTCTTGGGTATCATGTGGACTCATGGCTGAAATAAAAAAAAAATAAAAATAAACAATACCTACTAGAAAGGGATAAATATATTTTGCATACATAACATAAAATTAAGGTAGAATAAATACATCAGGAGTGTAGCAGATTAGTAAGCCCAAGTCATCAAAAATCAAAAAATATATCAGTTCAATAAAAATGCACAAACAAAATTACCTTGAGAATATTACTCAAATTTTTGTAGAGACCACAGCATCCAAGAGGAATACATCATTAAGAAGAGTTATATAATAAAGAGAAGGTAAGAATGTTACTTTTATCATCCAAAGCCTTTTGTTCTCTATAAGATAGTATTGTGTATTTAGGAAATATCTACCAGCTACCTTCACTCTCAGTAGAACAAAAGAAATGTAAAACATACAAACATTTGTGGCTTTTTCAAACAGTGTCGAAAAACTGGCTTTGGTCTACCATGACATACAGACATGAAAATAACAGTATATTTTGGGTGAATATTCAACAAGGGTAAAGAAGCTTTGGACTATTATAAAGAAAAATGAACAAAAAAAATTTACTAATAAATATACACGTTTATGTCTATAAAATTTTCCATTAAAACATTTTAAATGACTATAAAAACCTTGCATTGCCTATGGCCATAATATATGGATGAAGTAATGCATAACAATCAAGTATAATAAATTGATTTTTATATTTTTAATTTGTGAGATATGACGATTTCTTTCACTGACAAATACATCTTTGTTTATTTCCTAAATATATCATAGTATTTTGTACTATATATACAAGGTAAAATGGCTAAATAGAATGAATTAACACAATTATTATTTTAGATAATTATCAGTTTTGTTCTTACAAGGTATTGTATTTCTTCTGTTAGTATTTATGAAGAATATAATACACTCACCATGTGGTAAAACAAAAATATTGACCCTTTAATGCTCAATAAAATAAAAATATGTGACTTTGAGCATAATATCAACCGTACACAAAACACAGTACCTGGTGAGAAAAATTTTACCCATAAATTTCTGACTTCCACATGCGAATCAAATGTTCCTGCAAGTTAATCTGTGCATGCCACATTTCTCTTAATGCAAAGTCCTGCATATATTTCTTACAATACTTTAAGAGACAAAATATTTTATAATTAAATAATAATAGTATATAAGTACAATATTTTTACACATTTGGTCATTGATAGGCACATACATTGAGCCCATAGCTTTAATACTGAGAACAATATGTGCACTAAACACAAAAGCAGAGGTATCTCTTCAGTTTTCTGATTTAATTATTCATGGATACATATTTAGCACTGGCATTCTGGAACTTTAGGTCATCAAACTTTTAATTTTTCATGTGTGGTGCTTGAGATTAACCCCCAAATTCTATATCACTTAACTACGAAACAAGTCTTTTTAAATTTTTTTTGACTCATGCTGTTTCTAAATTTTTATGACTTCCCTAAATCATGAATTACTTTTGCATCACCTCCTAATTAGCAAATATTACAAGGATGCAGCACTGTTCTTGCCTATTTTTATTTATTTAAATTTTTTTATACTTTTTTCAAAAAATGAACTATATAATCTACTGTTGACTCTTTTAATGAAAAAATAATTTAGCAAATATAAACAAAGAGAAGCATGGCTTAATCCAAGTGACAAGAAAGAAAAAAAAAACATTAAAAACTGAAAATTAGGATACTGGCATTTATGAATTACTCAAAAACCACTAAATAACGATTTAAAGAAAGTTTAGAGAGTAAAATTGAGACAAAAAATATAAATATAAATAAGTACAAAATGTGTATGTGAATAATTCTTTAAGAAAAAAAAATGAGAGGGGCATTCCAAGTGTGCAAACCTGAAATTCTACCAATATGGGAGAGGCTTATCAAGCAGGACCAAGTTTAAGACAAGTCTAAGCAACTTGTGAAATACTGTAAAAATTAAAAACCTACAGGTTATATAAAGATAAGTGGGATACACACACACACATTACACTTGAGGGGATATAAAACACACACATATATATATATATATATATATATATATATATATATATTTGTAAAAAATCCAATCATGCCACAATAAAAAGCAGTGATCTAGAAACTAAATCATTATCACAATATAAAAAATAAGAAATATAAAAAATAGCATACAAAGCAGAAGTATAATGAGTTATTCACTTCAAAATATTTATGATTATTAATGCATTATTACAAAACACAATAAAAAAGAAAAAAAATTTACTAACAGAATTAAATCTAAAAAAAGAAACTTCCAAGTCAGTACCAGCAGAGAGCATGAAAAGAAACCAAGCATGATCTGCTCCCAGAGGACCTATTTGTTAAAGATGGATAATGCCTCTGCCTTTACATCTCATCATTTTGCACAATTTTTAATGAATGAGATATAGTTTTAAATTGTGAAATTTCTCATAATTGTTTTGGACAAGCTTTTGTTGACTGAATAAATTTTATCCTGATCCTTGCTTTTTTAAACAGAAACAAACAAAAGATCTAGCCTCTCTCATATTAATATACATTAAAAAATGTTTTATTTACACTTAATATGCTCAATATACAACATAAAATTAATACTCAAAATTGGTCATCTACATTGAATAGGAATTTTATTCTCAAACAGCCATTATCTATCTATCTATCTATCTATCTATCTATCTATCTATCTATCTATCTATAGATATAGATATAGATATCATTCCAGCTTTTCAGCATGGCAAGGTACTATGCCTTTGATCACGTGGGGAAAAAATAGACTGTTAAATTATGCTAACATGTTCTTTTTGATGCATGAAATATAGCAATTATAAATGTACATCAGGGACTTGAAAAGCTGATTCATAAGATTTATTTAACCCTGGAAGAGAAAGAGTCCCTCCAAACAAGAGAATAATCATTTTCCTCAAAATAGGAGAAACATTAAAAGAGGAACCCAAGATACTATAATTCCAGATACTTGGGGGGGGGATATAAAACCATTAATAACCTCAGCTCAAAAGGAGTTTGCTCAAATAGGTTAGAATGTACTATGGATAACTTAGTTACTGCTTTGGTTGCTAAACTCACACAAAACTCTGTTAATGCTTTGCTCTGTTTTTGTACACCACTTGTGGGAAATTCAGTACTGTCAGATTCTGGAATTCTACAACCCCTTACAATATCTTGACTAACTTGGATGAAATTGTTATGTACCTGAAAAAATGTCTCATGGTATTCATTGTTGTGTTAGCAGAATAACTGTGTCCTTACCATCCACATAGTATTTAATAGGTCACAATCCTGCACAATTAATTCATAAAAGATCTATTCCTCTTGATAAAAACTGTGATGATTCAGTGAACCTTCTCTCTAAGGCAGAATTTGATGCTCTGACATTTTCCTTAGTGGGTTTCTCTGACTAGCTCTATGGGATTAAAAAACTACAATGAAACTCACCTATGCTATCATAAAAAGTATTAGTCATGCCTCCACGGCTGTTAATATGCTTAATGAAGAACAAAAACAACATTGTCAAGCATACTTAAAATTCATGATTGTAGTTGATTGTCTGGTATTGTTATATTATAATGGATATCAGAAGTTTAATAACGTGTTCCTTCAATTTAAGTGATAATAGTAATTTTATTTCAAAACAGTTAGATTACCTTAAAGATATCATTAATAAGGTACAACAAGATGATTGATGATTGACTTGTTGGATTGGTTAACTTCATGTTTACTCAAATTCATCTGCGTCAAAAAAGAATCATAGGTGGATGTTTAATGATGTTGGCACTTGCTGTTGCCCTATATTTTGCCCCCACCAGAATTAAGAAGATAAGTAATATTATTTATTCAAAAGGCTTTTTAAAAAAGAGGGGGGTCTTGACGTATTCTGACCTTGGAAATAGTGTGGGGGTGATGGAAACTGTCACCCTGAGTCCCACAATTGTAATTCCCAGGACTTTCTTTCTGAAGCTATTAAGACAACTCTACAGGTGCACTATCTAGTTTCTGTGGTAATGTCCTTTGGGAGAAGAGACTCTATGTTTGTATGTTATCTTGGTTAGCTAAAACTTGGGGTTAAAATAATACTAGGTTAGAATGTAGTCATTACAACAGAAGCTATGTAATTTTGGGGTACACTATGTATAGCCATGAAGAGGAGTGGTCAGTTTTTTTTTTCCTTTTAACTGAGATTGAGTCTCTCTCTTCTCTTTGCTTCTTTACAGGTTTCCTCACAAGAAGATTTGTAACACATCATGCTGGCCCTAACAATAAAACGTAAGTTTTGATAGTTAATCTGAATAAACTGGGACATCACTAAAGAAGAAAATGGAGAAACACAAAGAATTTGAAAATGTGATAAATGTAGGGCAGTATGTGTTCAATGATTAAAATCAAAAGAAATAAACCTAAGCTTCTGAAATGTTTTTTCTGCTAAATAACTACTCTACCAACATTTTTATATTGGTTTTCTCCATTTGAACATCTCGCTGCGTCCCCTGCTCTGTGTAGGATACAAGAGTTTACATCACTAAAGTATGCTAGGAACTATTTATCTAAAGTGGAGAATGTATAACATACCAGGTAAGAGAGAGATTAAAGAGTAACATAATATATATTAAGGAGTAAAGTATCTGTTCTAAAAATGCCCTTTTTCTTTGAAACACAAATATGAAACTCATTCTTACAGAGAAGTTCCCAGAAGATACAGCAGAAGTACATTAAATAATAACTATTAATTAAAAATTTTAAAGGGACATTAAACTTACAGAGGAAGGCAAAGTTTCTATAGTTCTCTAACATCACATCTTTATATAAGTTTTTCTGAGCAGGCTGAAGGCATTCCCACTCCTCTTCAGTAAAATCAATGGCTATATCCCTGAATGATAAAAGTAACTGTAAAAAGAATAGATAATTAAATAACACATTGACCACATGAACATTTGAACAGTCTGTAAGGTAAATGAAGTTAAAATGAGAGTTAGTAGACTATCATGCATGTGGTGTTTTGGAACAAAATGATACTATTATCTACTTCTGCAGAAAAAGTGATTTAAGATCAAATATATATATATATATTTGATCTTAAATATATATATATATATATATATATATATATTCCACATTTGTGAAAGACAATATAAAACTCAGGCATTACCACAAAAATATATATTATATGATTTTTTATATCATGATCTAAATTATGTATATTGTTCAGATGAGAAAATTATTGTAATTGAAAAAGGGAATCCTCAAATTTTAATTGTACAATCACTAATCAGAGATTTACTAAAGTGTAGAACCTTATTTGTTATTTCTCTGATAGAGCTGGATTTTTTAAATATGTAGGGAGATCTCTAGTAATTCCAATACCAATGGTATAAGAAAAATTTTGAAATGTAACAAGGTAGACAGACCATTTAATGGAAATATTTAATAGTGAATTTAAGTTCAAATATTTTATGATATTTATGCATGTTATTAATATAAAAAATAACAAAAACATTCCTGTTTGCATTTTCCATTTTATAATTTTAACAATTTTTAACATACAAAATAATATATGCATATATATATATATAAAATTTGATTGATACATATATTGTAAGATGTTTAAAATAGAATATACATATATATTTTCAAAAAATATAATTTGTTTTTTTTTTGTTGTTGTTGTTGTTTGTTTGTTTCTTTCTAGTTCCACCTGAGAGTAGAATCAATTTTTAATGGTATTAAGTAAGCATGGGATATATCTTATCCTAATTAGATTTCTGTTCTTGTTGGTGACTAAGATGGTAGGATTTATATATATCTTTAATATTTCTATCTCCTTCCCTTTTATTTATTTATTTATTTTTATGTCTGTGCAATCTACTGTTCTTGTTTTCTTACCCTTTCCCACTTTATGAACTTTAGATTTCACATATCAGCAAAAAATTTTAAACATTCAGTTTTAAAGAAATGGTTTGTTTTACTAAGCATAACAACTCCAAATACATTCATTTACTGGAAAAATTATAAAGTTATTCTTCTTTATGGCAGATTAATAGTTTATTGTGAACATAAGCAACAATTTTTTTATCTTGTCATTATTGAATGGACCCATTCCTCATTGAATGTTTGGTTTTGTAGCTTAGCTATTGTGAATTGTGCTGCTATAAACATTAACGTGGCTAAGTCAATGTAGCATTTTGATTTTATGTCCATCGGGTATATACAGTACAGACCTTAAACTATACTACAGAGAATTGGCAACAAAAAAGACTGATAGACAAATTGTACAGAATAGATGACACAGAGACTAACCCACAAAATTACAATTATCATATATTAGATAAAGGTGCCAAAAACATGCACTGGAGAAAATATAGCCTTTTCAAATAACCCTATCTCTCACCATGCACAAAACTCAACTCAAAGTGTATCAAAAACCAATGAATCAAACCAGAGACTCTGCATCTAATAGAATAAAATGCAGGCTCTAATCTTCATTATGTAGGATTAAGCCCCAATTTCCTTTACAAGACACCTATGGCACAAAAATTAATAGAAATAATCAATAAATGGGATGAAATCAAACTAAAAGTTTATTCTCAGCAAAAGAAATAATCTGTGAGGTGAAGAGAGAGCCTACATCCTAGGAGGAATTTTTTACCCCTCACACATCAGATAGAGTACTAATCTCTAGGGTACATAAAGAACTCAAAAATCTAAGCAAATAATAATAATAACAATAACAACAACAACAACCCTGTCAACAAATGGGCCAAAGATCTTAACAGACAATTCTTAGAAGAGAATATACAATCAACGTTTTTTTCTATATATCTGATAGGTTATGCTGCTCCCTTTTCAGAACCAAGCATAGTTGTTATTCAGTTTCTAAGGAAGGAAGACATGAACCAGAAGTATTATCAATTATCCTTTATAAATTATCAAATACAATTTTCTATGTCATTTTCTAAACATAGGTGAACATGGGAAATAGAGACTTGGAGCAGAGAACATTTTTATTAGAAACACAGTGTAAACGAATGACAAAAATAAAAACATAATTATTTGCACCACTTTGAAGCACAAAAGAAATGAACCTTGGAATTCAGAAAAGAAAGATTCATACTTTTATACTAGGGAATGTAGATGACATGGATGCCTAAAGTGAAAAGGTTATTACAAGCTTTTGAAATAAATTTTATGTGAGTGGCAGATAATCGTTAACCAATTAGTATCTGCACAGTGTTTTCCAGGGGCTTTGTCAGCTGTGCACTACAGAACATACAGGTATTCATACCCTCCATGAAGAGCATTATTCATCTGTGTCCTCTAAAATTATTCCCACAGTACAGAAAAAAAAATGGGTATTTGTGTACTAAATGGCAATTCAGCAGCCCACATCAAACTACTCAGAGACAGTATGAAATTTCTTCAAAGATCATCAATGTATTGTTAGCTCCTGACACAGGGATGTCAGTCTGAGAAAATATTATTTTCTTTCCATTTTGAAGAGAGTGCATTGAAATTACATTTCAGGGACAACACAAATACTTTTTTTTTTTTCATGTTAAGAAACTCTTCAGAAACAGAGCTCCCAAGACAGATTTCTTAGAAGGGTAAATGCCTGGAGATTAAAAAAAACATCAGTGGCCCTGAGAGACTCAGTAAGGCAATAAATCTAAAAGGCTTATTAGAAACTGAAAAGCAAAAAAGTAACTACTTCTAAAAACAAATATGCTCATTAACTGCTATCTCCTCAGCATGTCATTAAGTAAACAACAAATTATGTATGAATATTTCTAGGATTGGCCAAATTTTATTCCATATGAATTTATATTAAACACCAAAATCCACATAATAGAATTCATGATTCGCTGCCTAAAATATTTATGAAAAAAAAAATTCTTTAAGGAGTGGATGTTTAGTAAATATGTCATTTAACAATTTAATTACCATATGATTTTGAGGAAATTTACTCATTTTCCTGCAGCCATAGTGTTGATACATTTTTTATTTATTTTCCTATAGTACCTTCCAAAGATAAGCCCTAGAATCCACTTTAAATAACCTACACTTACAAACACACAAGAAATCTATAATAAATGATGAGGATAAAAAAGGCAATTTTAAAAAATAATTTAAATCTTTTTCTTTTTGTTAAAATCAAACTCTAGCTGCATTTTGGATCAATTTCTCATCTTTTAAGCCAGAAATCATAAAAAATATAAATGCCAAAAATTTGAACTGCAAATTTATACATGAGTTATGTTTATTAGATTTAAAAATTCAAATTTTTTAGAAATTAAAGAAATGCAAAATAAAAACCCATTTTGGGAAAAATTAATAATATTGATGAACCTATAACAAATGAATAATAATTAACTCAAAAGGGGTTTAAATTAGTATTTCTTTGTGGAAAATATTTTGCTATTTAATATACATGATACTCCACATCACAGAGACTTAGTGAAATTAGAGCATATGTGACCATGATAACATGTAAGTACGCAATGGTACTCATCCAAACACTTTAAGTCCAAGAGCATGGCTCAATAAAATACACATCTTGGAAGAGATAAATAATAATCTGTAGGAAAAATGGTCACTAGGCTAGTCACATTTTATAACATATCCAGTTTAAAAAAGAGCATAAAGCACTATGTATAAATTTTACATAGGTGCCTTATGAAAGTAGTATTTTACATAAGTAAATTTTTAGAAACAAAAAATGTAGAACTTATAAGAAAATAAAAATTATGAGAAGCACACAAAAGACTGAATTATTCATCCCATGTATAGATGATAAAACTCATCATTATAAAGGTGATCATTTTCCCCCAAATTAATCCCCAATACATCTCACTAAAATTGCTATGTACAAATATAAATATAACACAGTGAAGTCTATTTTTATGTGTATTCTATAATGCAATAATTTAAAAAAAAACTAAATAAATATACAATAGAATAAAGTAGGAGAATAGGGAAAGGGGAACTACTGGATACTGATGGGTAGCACATTATATTTCATGTGTTATGATTATGTCAAAATAATCCTGACTATTAAATACAACAATAATGCAATAATAAAAAAAAGATTTACTTTAAATGAAATAAGTAACCAAATTATAAATTTTTAAAATTAATCTACAAAATTATATGTAACTTTAGCTAAAAACCTTTTCATTTATAAGAGCAAAAAAAAAAAAGAACTTATCATGGTCTACTATTCATATATATTGAGAAATCATAATATTACAATAATCATCAAAGTATCACAATATAAATAAAATCCCCATATGAATAGAATACCTTTGTATGTAAAACCTGTATGCTTTATTGTGATAGCAAAGTCTAGATAAATCAACCATAACAAAAATAATCTCAGCAATTTAGCTATGACCTTTCTCAAAATAAATTTAAACCTACTATTAGGGCTGTTTAACAGTGACAAGTCCTTGCCTCTGCAATGCTGAAGTATAATATCAGAAAAGCATGCCAAGGCAAGTTTAGAGTGGAACATTAAAGCTTTATTAAAGGATAGTAGAAAAGACTTCTCTCCAGAGGAAAAAGGGGACCCAAGAGGAAGAATCCATGGAAGGGTGAGATCTTCTCTTTTTTATAACTAAGTTCTTCCTTCAGCTTTCCACATTCCTGTTGAATTTCTGTCCTTTGATCTGTTATCTTGCAGTGATGGAATGTACGTGGGAAGGCCCAAAGGCTGGGGGAGAGGTGGGCTGAAGCAGTAATCTGGGCAGGAAAGGCTTTTGGATTAGCATCTCCCTGTTTGCTGGTAGCTGCTTCATTAACATTTCCTTGGGATGGGTTCTGAACCTTGGGGACATTTTCAATTCCCCTTTTCCTGAACTCCATTCTAATATAATGTTCATTCTTCATTTTACTTGATATTAGACCTGATTTATCTAATAACACTAACTACCTAAATAATAATAATAATAATAATAATAATAATAATAATAATAATAATAATAATAAAAGTAACAATAAAA